GACGTATACTACTTGTTTAAGAAAAAGGAGTTTTAGCCTCTTTATTTTATAAAATTTTAATTTATCAAGTTTTGATAGTCAATTTTTTTTCAAAAAATTGATTTTTTTTTAGTTATCGTTGTTATTTAACTGTAAGTAGACTATGAGTATAAAAAAATAATAGCATGCTATAAGTTACAAAATATATAGAGTCAGAAAATTATTCACATAGCATTGTATTTTACTAAAAAAAAAAGATAAAAACTGAGAAAAAAGCGTGTAAAAGAAAAAAAATATTCATAAATATAAAAGAATAATTTTTTTTGGTATATTTTGATTTATTTTCATTTATTTGTACAGTCAAACTATACCATAGGATTTTATCAACAAATTCTACTTCTGAAAATTTTCTACAAAGTCATACTTGGATGAGAATATAAAGAAATTCATACGACCAACAGTATACAAGTGAATGTTGATACATCTAAATCATCGTATCAAGAGGTGCATATACATAGATGGCAGCACTTTCAATACAAGCACTCTATATCCTCCATACATGCCCTTTTTTTCAATATCCAATATCCTTAAGACTCATAATAATAAACCACTTAGTTTCTTTTTTCAAGAAAATAGGAAAAAGACAGCTCTAAAAATTAAAAATGAGAAACTTATCTAAACTTGCGGTGCGAGTGAATGTACAGCTCTTTGGTAACTCAAGTGGTAGAGCAACCATAGAGATAATATAATAGAGGAAGCGAACAAGCCGTGACCGCACACAGATGCTAGACAGAGAAAGAAGATTGTGTTGGTCTTGCATCTCTCTCTGCTCTTATCCTGATTGGCTATTTTAAATGCCCTCTTGTGCCTCTAATGAAATATATATACCTACAGCTCTACTATAATTACTACTATATATACTTTCAAGCAGCAGCCAATCAATGCAGAGAGCAGAGAGAGATGCAAGACTAAAACAGTCGCCTTCCTCTGTCTACTGACCGTACGCTTCCACTTACAGAAGAATATACAGTTCGCTTTCTCTATTATATTGTCTCTATGAGAGCAACTGTCTAGTAAACAGAAGGTTGTGTGTTCGATCCGCACCCAGGGAGGATATTTTTCTCATTCTTATTTATTTCTTAAGAAAATTTTCTTGAAGAAGAATTAATGTGTTTGATATTATGAGTCTTAAGTATATTGGATATTGAAAAAAGGGCATGTACGGAGGATATGGAGTGCTTGTATTGAAAGTGCCGCCATCTATGCATATGCACCTTTTGATACAATGATTTAGATGTATCAACATTCACTTGTATACTATTGGTCGTATGAATTTCTAATTTACCGATAAGTATTACTTTTTTAAGTATTTATTTAAGTCACATAACTAAAAATAAAAAGAGTTGTGTGTGGGTGCATGTGGGTATATAAACATGCACGTATATGAATAGCTACATCTTAGCATGATCTTATGCAAATTTTATCTGGTAAGGCTTATTATTTTTATTTAAACTATGACGTACTGCTGAAATGTATAGTTTTGGTTTAATATTGGCTTTTATTTCGATTTTATAAATTTGTAGAAATCGATTATTTTTAAAGTTCATGTTTATTGTTATTCATCGGTGTTATAGAATGTTTTATGTTAGAAAATTTGAAATATATTTGACGAAATTGTAAACAAAGAATCATTTTTATTTTTAATGCGTGTTATGCGTCAGAATAAACAGAATATGGTATAGTTGTAATGTCTATTGTTTTATGTAAGTAATAATACATCTGCCAGTATTCATCATCTTGTGGTATCAAATCACCGAGCAGTACTCTAAAAATACGCACTAATCAAAGCATTTCAGCGGCCAAAATTTTAAAATTCAATTTACTTTTGGTCTTCGATGAGTCATAAATGGCTACAACAGGTGATTTATTACTAACTTCGAAAGATCTAAAATTAAAATTTTGAATTCTATTACTCAATGTTTTAAGGGTACAATATTTTTTGTTATACACGAATCTTTATGTAAGAGCTTGCAGATCATATGCACGCATGCCTTGAAGGAAATTTTTTAGCTAACTTTTCAACAAATTTTAAAAGAGTCGTGCATTATTTATCGTATCCAATACAAATATTTTACGAATAATTTGTTAAACTGTAGAGTACTACAACATAATAACGATACCGACTTGACTTTGAAACTTGGATTGAAAACGTATACTTACATACAAATAACTCAGGCAGTCCTAGGAAATGAGACTGAAGGAACCGTTCCATTCTTAATACAACTGAAAATGAACATAGAAATACTGCAGAATGTAATAAATACTGAATAATAATTACATACCAGTGTTGATTTGAAAAAATTGTTTAGCTAAGTGAGATGTAATAAAATTTATGGGAAATAGTACGTTACGTCTCTAGGGACCCAAGTAGAAACACAAACGCCCGAAAAGCGCGGTTATTATACCTTTATACCCGATTCACATAGATGTACATAAAATAACAGCCTAAATAAATACTGTAACTGAAACTAGTAGGTATACTAGGAGGGTTCTGGCTCACCTTCCCCTTACCCCTGAGGCGAGCTGTAGCATGAGGCTTACCAAGGGAAGAGGTAGCGTAAGGGTTCTGGCTCACCGAGGGGGGAGCTGTAGCAGGGTATGGAACTCCTCCCTTTGAGTGGGCGACTGCCGCGGAGCATTGAATTTCATAGCTGCCTATTGGTAAAGTAACCACCTTTTCGACCACGTAAAATTTAATATTACTCTCGTCAATATTAGGTATGGAATTGAATGTGAGTAATTCCACTAAACCAATAACGTAATTTTTTTGCGGTGAGAGCTCAATCGGAGGAAATTGGATATTGTGCTTCGAGAACGGATGATATACTACACAGAGGTAAACTTTGTACCATAGGAGTACGAGTGGTTGTGTTGCTGAAGTCCAATGCATCACTGAGCTCCTACAGTATGGACGATGCCTGTCGCCTAACCCAAACTTTGAACGCATATAGTACAGCGCAGCATTGAACTGTAGAAATTCAAAGGAGGGGGCTGTCTGAGCTCTGACGTTTGGACGTAGACTCGGAGAGTCTAAACGTCTGGGCTCAAATAGCCCCCTCCCTCGGACTTCGACCGTTCAATGCTGCGCTGTACTGTATGCGTACAAACTCTGAAACGAGGAGAGCCTGATTCATTGAGGCATAATATCAAATCTAGCGGTGGTTGTAGATCGCCAAAACTATCGAAATATGTTACGTCATCACCTTGTTTTTTGTATGCAACCCAATGGGTACCAGGACCTTCTTTATCATCTAGATTGACAATAGCTGATTCATTTTGATGTGGACCACTAAATGGCATATTGTTTCTCATGAATACTCCTCGAAAATGTGGTATCTTTAACATTTTTGCATATTTCATAATATCTTTATTTGTGAGAGCTCGATTAGTCAGTTTTACTTCAAACGTTTTTTTTTTAATTCCCTTTCTGGTTTTAAGTATGGACCTGACCTTTTTTTTTGTGGCCTTTACCAAGTAAAATAGCTTCCATTCTTTTATTATGCCTCGCACCCTCTTCAAGTCGTTTCTTGGCTTCGTTTGCTTGATTAATTGTTTTATACTTACCACTCACACCTTAAGTAATATCCCCTATAGCGCTTAGACCTGTAAAATTTAGGTACGGTAAATGATGAAAAACCTCCAATCTTTTGAGGAATATGTAACATGAGGGGTGTTTTAATATTTTTCTTACCACCTGCTTTTTTCATGGCTGCTCGAGCTCCTTTTAAAGTAGAACTTACAATTTTGCGAACACATTTACTTGTAACTATAGACT